AGGAGTCCCTTGACCTCCTGCATGTGGTTATTTCGAAAGAGAAATCACTAATATCAAGGAGTGGGTCCGCGGAATTCGCGAATAACTTTAGGGTTCGATATTTGACAGTCGATCTCCCCCGGTATCCATTAAAAAGCGTTATTAAACACTTTCCACCCCTACGGGTTGATGGTTGTTGCTCACCGTTATTCGGTGTGTGATTTCCGTTTGCTTTGTAGGCTGGGTGGAGCTGGATATCGTGTTCTTGCAAGGCTAAACCATAGGCGCTCGAGGCGGTATTCCCATCTTGTGGTTATGGGGCTAAAATTGTTCTCTCCTTCTTACCCGCTTGATTTCTGGTTGGGTAAGGGACGACCACTCAGTCCAGAAGCTCATGGGCGTTTGGTGAGACTCCTTCGAGCCAAACTTAAGCCCCGGGAGCTAATATAGCCCCCCGATGAGCTGTTCGAGACTTAGTAATCTAGATATTTCCTGGAGTACTCTCTCCTTTATGGATGGATGCGCCAGTGGTTAAACTACCTTAAATGGTATCTGTAACGCCCGATGACGAACGCCATGACCTGAGCAGGACCAAACTCACGACGTGAACATTTGAGGTTCACGACGTGAATCCAGAAATTTGGCCCTATAAATAGGAACCGAAGGTCAGCCGAATATGGTTGCTAATTCATCACTCCCTCACTCTCTATACCCTCTTTAAGCCTAATTTTAACCCCCCGAAGTCCCAGTATCATTCCGACACCCGAAGCGAGTCCCGAAGCTCTGAAGATCCCGAGAAAAAGTGTTTTCGAGCCGAAGCTCTGCCCGCGAGAAGCCTGGTTTTTGGAGAAAACATCACGGTTTCATCGAAGAATATTGTTTTAAGGGACGAAGAGTTGTCCAATCGTCGTCTTATCAAGTGAGTGTATACTCACTTTCATCTTACACATAGATATGAAGTATTTTATAAAATACGTGCTATGTATATATATATATATATATATATATATATATATATATATATATATATATATATATATATATTGTTTGTTTATTAAGATAGATCAGACATACCCGATCCGGGAATATGGATTAGGTAAGGAGGTAAATTTTAGATCCGGGAGTACGGATTATGTATTTTTGAACTATGTGTTCATCCGATAAGGTATCATGTGCATAGTCCCTTTCATGGACATGATTTTAATACAAGTATTGATTAAAGTATTAAATATATATGTATGTGAAATATTTGTTATTGCCCGAAATACGTGTTAGATATATATTTGATGATATACAACGTGCGAATCAGTTATGGTTCAATATGTGTTAAGATGTGTATATATGATATTATTACTTAAAACTCTGTGTTAAGTGTACACTAGTTAGCGTTGCCTAAACGGATATAGTATCGAAAATTGATTATAAGCATTGTAGGTTTGCCTAGTGATGGGTTAAGACTTAAAAAGGGATGTTTAGTTCAATTAAGTTTGGACATTGGGTAGCCTCTTATTAAGAGTACGTGTGTGGTGAGATCGATGATCGGTGGAGTACGTCCTACATACAGAAGTACATTTTATGTACGAAGTCCTTTTCAAAGCCCTGTGTCTTAGGTGCTGCTTGTGCCGGGTTTTTATTATGTTCTCGGGTACGAGTCCTACGCATACCAGAGTACTATAATGTGCGAGAAGTACTATCATGTACAAAGTCTTTTTTTACACTATTGTGTGTCAGGTTACGGGAGCGTACGGGAGTACTTTATTAGTATTTCCCCATAATTTTTTTTATTTGAAAGAGCTTTGGAGTCATTGTTTCTTTTATGAAGTGATCGGACGAGCTTCATATGTCAGCGTTTCCTTTCACGAAGTAATTGAGGGAACTTCGTAGACTGCCTAATAAAGTGTGTCCGTAATAGACCACTACCAGGTATGTTTGATGTTGTATTCCCGGATAGGGTGAGTCTGGGGGTAAAATATCTCATGATATTCAGACCACTGCTAGGCAAAGTTCGATGCTGGATAGGGTGAGTCTGGGGGTAAAATACCTCACGATATTCGGACCACGGCTAGGCATTGTTATCTAGATAACTACCCCTGACTTAATTGTCTTGTGGTTCTTCCTTTTACGAACGAAGGTTTGTGGTGAAACTTATTCCATTCCCCTCATTTGATGTCTTTATTGATCCTCGTTTGCTGCCATGGAATTTCCGAAGCAGCTTCGTCAGTTTGTTGTTCGTATCGATTCCTTAGGCTAGATCTCGTAAGATCATTGTATAGGGTCAATATGTGGGGATCGACGGGATGGGATAGATTGTTTTAGAAATATGATATATATGTGTTAATAATAATAGTTGTTTTGCAGGATTGAGATATACATTATTATCACATTGTTTGAACTAGGTGTTCATTAAGTATTTTCAAACGGAGTATTTACCAAGTATTTTTGATTTAAGCGTTCACCAGTTGTAATTTAAGAACCCTGGCAGCTATGGACTTAGTGCCTTATATATGTACGTTGGTAGCTATGGATTTAGTACCATATAGATGAACATTGGTAGCTATGGACTTAGTACCTTGGCAGCTATGGATTTAGTGCTTGTTGTATAAACCTCAGGCAGCGATGGACTTCGTGCCTATTCCTTAGGTCAATCCTTAGGAATGAATGATAGATGATTCTTAGGGTAGATCCTTAAGATTAAAGAAGATAATAGGGATGGGTAATTGGGTTGATTGTTTGATGATTAAATATAATAATTATATTATTATGGGTTGAAAACCCTATATGCTCACCAGGCTCCCAAGCCTGACCCACTCAGTTTTTCTATATTACAGGTAGTGGAACAAGAGCATAGTTGGACGATGACGAGGGATTTTGGATTATAGGCCAGTACATATAAATAAATGTTGTAAGGCCTTTATGGTATTGTTTATGCTTTTGGTCTGTATCGGAACATGACATCCCGAGGTTTTATAATATAATGAAAATTCATTTATTTAAGAAATGCTTTGATAAACTTTTATCATATTTTGTTTTGGGAACAAATTCCGCAACTCTTTTAAACAAAGGATTACTCTGATTTTATTTTAAAAGCATAAACGAAATCGGTCTTTTCTGGCCGTGAAATTGGGGATGTCACAGTATCACCTTACCGTACTTTCCCCTTGGGTTACCCTCGAGGAACTGTTTAGCGGTCTGGTTGTCTCGCACTCCTGGACGATGGTCGCGGTGGATGAAGACCCCGTTCACTTCTCTCTGGAAGTTGTTTATAGAAGTGCACTTTTCAAGTTCATTAATCAGGCCGTGAAGTGAAGGTCACAGGGGCTATGAGACCCGGCGTAGTAATTTGGAATCCCTAGTAGTAAGCAGAAAATGAAAAGCTTATTCATAAGCTCAAGATAGCCAAGATGGAGTAGGGCTAGTCTAAGACAAGACAGACCGATTGAATTGAATTAGCAAGTCTCCAGACTGATTTACTGGAGCAGGAGAAGTTACATCACTGAATCAAGATGCCACTAACTTTATTCCTTACGCTTTTTCCGATGTTCGGGTCGGCTTTCTTTGTCGGACGTTTTATAGGAACGGACAGCTGCCCCATAATTTCCACCGTCATCGCTTTATTATTACTTTTGGTCACTTTAATACTGGTTTATATAATTTGAGTTTCCAAAGGGAAGAAGAGTTCTTTTCTTTTCTTCGTCATTCTCATTCTAATTTACGTATTCTGTACTTTTGCTAGATATTTGTGTTTTTCTCTGCTGGCAGGAATGACAAGCGCTTGCATTTGGCAAGTATCTTCCGAAAGTGGAAATGAAAGTAGTCAGAAAGTAGAAAGACTCTAAACAAAAGGTACTGGACAAGCTCTTAGGGAATAATCTCTTTCTTATTTATTTCTAGACTCAATCTCTATCCGGTTGGAGTTGGATTGAATCGACTTCGTCTTCTTCCTAACAATGAACCCCGTTCAAGCTGTGATAAGAGGACGTTTCCGTACCCCTTACCTTACTCAAGAATGAAAGTCATGCTGATCAGTAGTAGTGTCTAAGAGGAAGGGTTGGAGCTTTGAGCTACCTATTTTTTGTGATCAAATTAGAAACTTAGCTTCTCACGTTGCCATAGATTCTCCGGAAGAAAGCAATCGGCTTTGCCCAAGTTGTAATGACAGAAAAATCCCTGTCGATGAAGAATGTTTCGAAAGCAGCCTCAAAGCGGTTAGCTTCGCTTTCCTTGAATTTAGAGAGGAATGGTTTCAGATGAACTACTCCCTTTACCAGTTGATGAATCATGCTTCGAACACCTAGACCAGCAGCCGTTTCGTAACGTCTGCGCTTAGATAGCGATGTGAACCCGCCTTCCTTACTTTAATCAATAGATAGGTTTGTACTACTACCAGTAAAAACAGAAAGTTTTGAAATGCTTTTCGTAAGGCAAGGAAGTCAGTGCAGGTAGGCGAGGGCAGTTCCGGTCTACGATTTATGGCAGTCTATTTTCTTTCACTTTTGTCGTTGTTGATTGATAGAGATGGCTTTTGTGCCGGTCAATCTGTATCCCATTCTTCAGGTATAGTTTTCTTTGATCACAGATCGACAATCCTTTCTCCCCCTTTCGTCATAAGGCGTGGTCTGACTCTGAACCATTCCTGTGTTTAGGTCCCTACTAAGCATAATTCGTAAACTATGCAATGGCTATTTGAAGACTTTTTAAAAAGTTTCTCGCAAAGCAAAAAAAATTGAAAACGACCTTACGAGGTAATGCTGAGTTAAACTACTCGTGTTAGCATGGAAGTCAGCCCGCTGATTCCATTCTGCTACTAGGGTTCCAAACCTTCCCATTAGCTCTATAAAGACCTTTCCAACTCAAGAGATGCTAAAGCTATTGTTAGTGGTCTTTCTAAGTCGGAAAGAGGGCTCAGACTGGTCTGACTTCGGGGTTGGGAGAGATCGGAAATAAGCTGCCATAGGCTTGGATGGAGCTATTTATGGCGAAGAGGAATGAGATGAAATGGTTCCGCATGGTTGTTCCGCACTTTAGTCTAATTCAGTTCCGTTAGGGGTTCTTTCGTTAGTTCGATGCAGATTCGTAACCATTGGTTCCAGGGAAAGAGGGATCACTATCGGAGGTAGGCTCGCACTTAGATCTTCAATACCCGCTGTGCCCCAACCAAATTCAGGTGAATGAGCTGGTCGTTGCTTGGTTTTCCCCATCCTACGAGTCAAGCTTGGAGGGGATCTACCTATTGAAGATGCAGCTTCAGCGGATGGTGGTTCTTCCCCGCTAGAATGGGATTTGTCGGTGCTAAGTGGAATCCTTTGATTGAAGGTCAGGAAAGGAATACAATTGAGGTGTGGATTCAAGTAGTTAGTTCGCACTAGCTCGTACCACCTTGAATTGCAGTCGGTCTTGAAGGCTAGTAACTAGGATCAAGGACTAGGAAGGGAAGCTCTTCTTGTCCAACCGGTTGGGTTGCAGGACTGGTTGTTAGCGGAGAAGCCCAGGAAGAAAGATAACTTATTAGAGCATTGGAGGTCGACGAATTCGTCTATCAGGCAATCTATCCTTAGCCTAAAGGCCCGTTAAAGCTCTAAGGTGCAGTGTGACTGGAGCGGTTGTAGAGTTTTGAAATGGGATTAGAGACGACGCCTGAGTATGAGGAGATCGCACTGGAATATGGCTACTCTTTACGGCAAAGGGGGCATTGCCCATAATATAAGATAAGACTGCCCACCATCCAGGTAACCTCACCCGTGAACCACGAACCAGACTTACAGACAACCTAAGAAGAAAGGGAGTCTCACCCATAAGCATAAGAAGGAAAAACTAGAAGAATAAACAAGAGAGAACGCGCATACAAAGAGGATTCTTAACCGTTCGCGAAGAGAAGATAGTTGTTTTAGGCATTGGTTCAAATCCAATAGTAGGTAGAACTTATTAGATACCGCGGTCCATGGTATCTAATAAGTTTTTATACCCATTTTCTTTTAGTGATATTTTTTATCTTTTCTATTTCTTTTTCGTTGCATCAAAATCTGATTTTGTTTGATTGTATTTATTCGACAGAATCAAGTCAAACAAAACACCCAAAGGGTGTATAAGTTATAAATCGATGAGTCATTACTCTACCATTATTATAGGGGTATGGGGTTCGAGACAAAGAAAGATCAAGGCAGCATATCAGCTTTTCCTTTATACTTTACTTGGATAAGTTTTTATGCTATTAGCTATTCTGTTGATTCTTTTCCAAACAGGAACCAACGAAGCAGATTTGCCTCGGCACAACCTAACGATACATCCAATACCAATGATCTGTGCTTAGAATGTGTTGCTAGATCTCTACTCTAGAAAGCTATACCGGCAACAACAATGTGCTTAGAATGACCCGGGGCTTACCTTTAATTACTTCTTTCACGACGAGAGAACCCAGCCCGGGGGGGAGTGTCCGTAAGTGTTGGTGAACGGTATACGTAGAACACGTGAGTAAAGAGTTGTCCTTTGAGCTCTTAGCTCTTTTGGTACCGTCGGTATTGCTTCTTTCTTTCAAGTTTTCCTAGGCCTACATCAGTTAAATATAGATATAAAATATCAAAAAGTATATCCACATATTTACAACCTGTAAATAATTTGTATTTATCAGACAATTATTTTATTTGAAGGAGTGCAAACTAATTTGGTTAAAGATAAATCATATATTTTTATCATATTAATTTGATTGTTTTTAACTACTCTAAATTAATATAAACTGTTAGGTTACTTCATACTTATTCTATGATTTGTAATTATTAATTAATAAGTAGTTCAATAGATTTTATACTCATGTATATTTTTATATTGTTCTAAATTTTAAAAATGTTAAATTAAACAAATTAACTATCATGTTAACTAAACGTTGTTGGAAATTGAGATAAAGTTTATTTTGCTAGCAAAAAAACATTCAATTTTAAAGAGTGTATTTTCAACTTATTTATTCAAAATATGTTAGATTATCTTTTTTTTATTATTATTATTACAGCTTAAAAAGAAAAAATGAAAAAGTAACTGATACAATTATATATGCATTAAAACATTAAAATGAGTCAAGGATTTATAACATCTAAATAACTTATAATTATTAAATACATGATTTATTAAAACCACTATAACTTTTCAAATTTTATTTAGTAATGATTTTAATTGTTTCATTAACCTATATAAATTCAAAATAAAATAAATAAATAAATCTATATTTTAGTATACTTATAACATTTTAATAATAATAAGAAGTGGTTTTTCAAAAGTCTTTTTTAACTTATTAATAGTAATAAATGAGATTTTTATATATGAACTTACTGTAAAAAATTTAGGACAAATTTGATACCAATAATATAACAATTTTAAACGACATATATTTTTCAATATTTTAACAGCATTTAGTTTTGGTATGCTGTTAGAGCAGTTAGAAGTTTAAAGCTTAATGTAGGAGATGTGAGGCTTAATTTTAGTTACAACATTTGTTACTCCCACTCTCCGAAATCAAGAAACGTCTCATTACTCTGCGGTGTATACCCAAAAACTTTCAAGTTTTGTGTTATCCTCTCCAACATCGAGTATATCTCATCACATCGAAAATGAGATCTATCACATACTACAAATTCATGAATGTTTCCATAAACCTCTATACAACTACACCCCGGGGTTTTCGTGACCCTTTTATTCATCATTAGATTTCTTACTTCACGTAAATCTTCCCATCTATTACAAGCTCCATATATATTACACAACAATACATACCCTGCACCATTATCTGGCTCTAATTCAACAAGTTTTCTAGCAACTATTTCACCCAAATCCACATCTTTATAAATCCCACAAGCTCCAAGAAGTGCACGCCAAACTACCGAATTCGGTCTAATTGGCATTGCGTTTATAAACTCATAAGCTTCACTCAAAAGCCCAGATCTACCCAAAAGATCAACCATACACCCGTAATGCTCCACCTCTGGCTCAATTCCATGGTGAATTCTCATGTCATCAAACAACTTTCTCCCTTCATCTACCTTACCACTATGCATACAAGCACAAAGAACACCAAGGTAACAAATCCCATCTGGTTTTATCGATTCTTTTATCATCGCATTAAACATGTTTATCGCTTCATTTCCAAATCCATTCATACCATATCCAACAATCATATTAGTCCAAGTAAACTTGTCTCTCTTCACCAATTTCTTGAAAACATCCACTGCTTTACCAACTTCTGCACACTTAAAGTACATGTCTATAAGTGCATTACCCACGAAAACATCGTTTTTTATTTTAAGATTGTGGTTCTTGTCGATACAAACCTTCACCCACTCACCTAACTCAAGTGCACCCATGTTCGCACACGCTGTTAGAACACTAACCATGGTGAACTCATCGGGTTCGATTTTTTCATCTTGCATTTGCTTGAAAAGCATTAAACTTTCCTTGAACCTGTTTTGACTTACATACCCGTTAATCATTGTAGTCCATGAAACCGAATCTTTTACCGGGATCTGATCGAAAAAATCGCGAGCTAAATTGAATTTCCCGATGTTGAGAAACCCCGATAAAATCACTGTCCATGAAATCACATCTCTTGTTTTCATGTTTGTGAAAATTTCAATTGCAGTGTCCATTTTGTGACAGGTGGCGTACGCATCGAGTAATGCGTTATTTAATTTCACATTTGGATCGATTTTGTTGTTCTTGATGTATTGATGAATGTGTTTGGTTCCATTAATGTCTTTTAGTTTTGAGCAAGCTGATAGGATTGAAACGAGAGTGATGAGAGTGGGTTTGGCTTGTGTTTTCTCCATTTTGTTAAAAAGATTTATTGATTCGTGGAATAGTTTGATTCTGTTGTAGCTAGTGATCATGATATTCCAAGCTATGGGGTCGTTTTTTAAACTTGTGTCAAAAACCCGTCTAGTGTCATCCATGTTTCCATATAAAGAGTACATGTGTAGTAGCGATGTTTGGACAGCTGGATTAGAATCAAACCTGAATTTATATACATGACTATGTATTGCCTTTCCGATTTTTGAACTGATGGATCGTGTAAATCCCTTCAGCAGAAATGGAAATGTGTAATGATCAGGCTTCACGTTCGTTCTTAACATCTGTATATACATGGAGATGGCATGTTGGGTTTGGGTAGTGCGAGAGTATCCCTTGATCATGGTATTCCAAAGGAAAACTTTTGGTTGGGGAGTTTTGTCGAACACTTGGCGTGCGTAATTGATATCCCCCAAATGGTTAGTGCAACAAAAGATGATAATCATGGAACATACAAAAGGGTCTAGGCTTACACCTGTTACGATGGTTTGGAGGTGAATTTGTTTTAGTTGATCCATTGATCTGCAAATGGAAAAACGAGAAAGTAAAGGGTCTGCTTTTAGCATAGATACGTACATGGTTCCAAGATACCAAGTTATGGTGCTTTAAGTTTAAGTGCATATAATATACTAGTGTAAAAGACTATGAACAGATAATATGTTCCTACACTTGTAAGGATTATAAAAATTTTGGGTCATATTTTTATTTTATTTTATCGAGAACTAAAAGATATCACTCAAAATGATTATTATGTCGTATAAGACTAAAAAAAATCAATCATAAACAAATACTGTAAAAACATAAAATAAAATAAAATCACTATATTTGTTTTAAAAATAAATTTCAATTTTAATTTGTGTATTTTTGTTTTTCTTTAGTGTTGTGTGCCAATCAAATACATCCAATTACCCGATAACATAAAAGGTCGCGGCAAACGGATAAACTTCTCTCTCGACATGGCGGCAGCGGTGGCGGCAGCAATTCAATCTCCCCGGAAACAGTCGTCGGCGATATCGGTAGGGCATCAGCGAACGACTGGTGTGAAGAATGCAATACTACATATCAGGAGAAAGTCCTTCGCCTACGAGCATCGGGTCACGACGGCGTCGTCGCCTTATTCTGGTGGTAGGTGCTGTATTGTTGCTGCTTCCAATTCCCCAAATGAAGAAGCAAATTCAAATGCCGATGATCCTGATCTCTCGTTCACGTCTCAGGTCAGGATTTTATCAAAAATTAGTTTAATCTGTCTCCATCAAACCTGCTATTCAACAAACAGCTGGTACCTCGAGAATCTGGCTTCAGTTGCCTGAGTTTACGACAACTGCTTGATTTATCCTCTTTATGTACTATTTAGTTCATCCATTTACGATAAAGGATAATGGAACATGATTGGTGCTCAAAATCTCATATGATCGATCAACTTCTAGTGTTTGATCTTCTATCTGTTTCTGCTGGATATCTCTCTTCTCCATATGCTATTTCATTCATACATGACAGATGATAATAGTGTTTGAAATCTCATATAATCAACCAAGTTATACTGTTTAGGTTTTTTGTTGTTGGTTTGAGCTTTAAATGATATCTTTACTTCCACCAAGTCTCCTAATCTTGCTTTGTTAATGAGCAGGAAGATGTAAACTTCTTGTTGAAGCTCGGAGGTGGATCCTTGGCAGGTGCAGCTGCCATCAAGTACGGCAGCATCCTGGTGCCACAGATCACTCAGCCAAACATCACTCAAGCTCTCATTATGATATCTACTCCTGTTATAGTAGCTGTTTTGATTTTAATAATAGCAAGTCGTGTTGAACAACAATGAAACCTTATCTTATTCCAACCAACAATCATTTCATATTTTCATTGTAATATTAATATAATAGTGCAAGTAGTATCGAAATTTGAAATCAAATATATCAAAACCACCGGGGTACTACTACTGGTAAACTCACTATCGGCCGTTTGAACAAAATTCTTACAAGCAATATTATTTAATGTTTTAGATACATGAAATGAATCATCAAGTTTCCACCAATATTGAAATTTGATGAACTTTGAGATATGATTTCTAAAAAATTGAAGAATTGTTTCACGTAGTACATTTCGATTTCTTGAGCAAGCAGCATTTGATGAGGATATTCTTTTAATCTTTTGGACACTACGTTAGATGGAAGAGAGTATTAATTAATTAATTAATACATGCTCTGCTTCTAGAAGTTCTCCTTGAACCAATTCAAAGCTCCTTTTACGACAGACCTGCAACACAAACAAGTGTTGGTATGAATCTTACAGTATAACTAGAAAAAAAAAATTTTAAAATAAATAAATACCCGGCAAAGTTTGTTATCTTCTTCAAGGGGTCATCTTCATCAGCTGAGCTGTCGGTTTCCTCAGCCACAGGATCCGCTTGAGTTTCTGTGACTTTAGCTGAACCAGAAACAAAAAACAAAACCGATAATTTAAAAAAATAAATAAATAAAAACTTTTTAGGAGAAAGTTGAGATGAAACTAGAATTTACCAGGTTGTTGAGAGCGAGAACGGGGACGGGTGGAGGTGGGGTTTTTCAGAGAAGCAAGTTCTTCAAGAAGCTCACGTTCTTGTCCACTAGAGAGTAGAAAGTGATTCTTAGTTGTATAAAAATAAAAACGAAATTGATAAGATTTGAGGAGTTGAAGTTGATACCTGATACGTCTAGGTATACTAACTTTAATGGTGAACAAATGATCACCACGTATGGAAGGTCTGTTGAGTTTAGGAGCACCTTTCTTTGCCAAGACAAGAGTATCACCAGGTTGGGTTCCTGGAGGGATCTGAAGTTCAGTCATCCCCTCAACCGTCTTCACCTGTTAAAATACCAAATACCAATACCATGTCCTTTTTCGTCATTTTATATATCTCTATTACTTCCTTAAATAATCAATCAGAATCAGAATTCACCAAATTACTACCTTAGCAACAGTTCCAAGTATGGCATCAAGATACGAAATGGAGATGGATGACATTAGATTAATCCCATCTCTTTGGATCTCCGGGATTTCTTCAACACCAAGGTAAACATACAGATCTCCGGGAGGACCTCTGCTCAAATCAAAACAAAATACAGCTAAATGCTACTTTTACTTGTTATTTATAATATAATTATACCCCTCAAAAGTCAATATATATACCCTTTTGGACCAGCATCACCTTCTCCAGCAACTCTAAGGATACTACCCTTGCTGACTCCAGGTGGAATCTTGACTTTGATATCTTTCTTCACACGTATCCGCCCTTCACCCGAGCATTTCCGGCAATACTCCGATATCATTTCACCCTTCCCGTTGCAATTTGGACATACAGAAACCTACAAAATGGAAAACAACAATACAATTAAAAACTATAAACAAGCAATTAAGAATACTGAAATTTAAGAGAATAAAAAAATGGATTACAATTACCTGTGAGAACATACCAAAAGGTGTTTGTTCGGTCCTCATGACTTGACCTCTGCCGCCACACGTGGAGCATATCCTCATCTTTGATCCAACTTTTGCTCCGGTTCCAGTGCACACGTCACATGTTTCAAGATGAGAAAGCTCAAATTCCTTTTCGGTTCCAAATATGGCTGCTAAAATTCTAACATCATGTCGTATCTGGAACAAAAAAAAAAAAAAAAAAACATTCTTTTAAACTTATACAAGTCCAAGTGGCATTAGTATGATGATGACACGTGTCAACTTAACTGACTAACTCACCGTATATCTTCACCTTTAATAACAGTAGTGGCACGGCGTCCTCCAAATCCGGTTGTGTCACCACCAGCAAAACCACCCATACTAGTCCCAAAGAATGTCTCAAACAGATCAAATGGATTTGTCTATAACAAAAAATAAAATGTAAAGAACAATAACAAACAAAAATGGACACAAAGAATAGGAGTTAAGAGTAGTTAGTACAGCATAAGCGCCAGCTTGTCCTCCCCCAACTGTGCTTTTAAGTCCGTCTTCACCGTATCGGTCATACATGGCTCGTTTCTTGTCGTCTGATAGAACCTGACAGTGTCAATGTACTGCTTTTTATTGCAATTATAATAATATTATTTTATTTACATAATATTTACCAATAAGTTTCTGAAAGATTGCCAGCTATTACTCCCAAAATTATCTATTTTTCCTAATACAAGCATCAATGTAGTAGTTTTCAAAAGAAAGTCTTTAATTTAGGGTTTAAAAGAGGGGTAATAATAATATAGGAAAATTTGTTTTCCTTTAGATAAACAATTTTGTTGCAGCCAGTTATCTGACCCCCAAACAATCTCATAATTAAAATCAACAACTTAAAGCTTTCGCTAATTCACTGCCATAAAAAGGTGTAATATCATGGAAACCAGGTGTGTAAGGAACAGTTTTCTTCTCTCCTACACATACCTCATATGCAGCACTGATCTCTTTAAACTTTTCAGTAGCTCCTGGTTGTTTATTGACATCTGGATGATACTAAAAAAATAAAAGAATATATTATATCAGAAGTAAGTAAAGTAAAGGAAGTTTCCATGATCAATCATCAGGCAATTAGTAACAACTTGTCACTAGAAAATCGGACTCAACAGCTACATAATCATGAAATTCAGTTACATCAAAACAATGCAAATTATAAACGCAAGAAATCTTCTGGTTTTCGTATTGGAAAACTATTATCACAAACATACAATGATACGATATCGTTTTATAATGAGAATGCTTCAATAATCTTTTTATGTTTTTGGACCACAGCATCTGTGCTTTTGTTACGAATTACTATCAGCTTCTGTTAGTTAAGGAGAGACTATGGCTTAAGTACATAAGGGAGATTTTGGCTAAGGCTGAACTGAGGATGAAGATGCAGGCTGAATAACATCTAAGTGAAAGAACTTTTCAAGTTGGAGATTGGGTTTACTTAAAGTTACAACCTATAGACAATATCAGCAACTTCTTAGTTCTTACCTACTTCAAAATTGTATTAAAATACATCTAAATAATCAGAAAACTGGAATCATAATCACTCCCCCAAATACTTCAAACAGGTTATTGCAACTTTGGTTTCTGTAACCAAATTCTCACCTACTGCAATCAAAGCTAATTAATTGTCACTTTAGTTCAAAAGCACATCCAAACACCCTGCTATTCAACTCTTGGACAAAGAATTCACTCCCTCTTGTACTAAACTTTGCTTTCTGTAACCAAATTCGATATAGACTTACAATCTAAAACTAAAATCCAGTGGTTTTGCAGTACATAAAGTTCAATTTGTCTCTAAATGGAGATTTAAGAATTTTAGAATCACTCACTTGATTACAACGAAGAAGTACCTAACAAGATCTCTATAGCTTGATTTTCAATTTGCTCAAAGAGAGCACATGAAAACAATGCAAATATCATATCTATATACCAAGAAAGCAATAGCCCTAACAACAACAGGGAACCCTAATACCTGGCGAGCTAACTTTCGATAAGCGGCTTTAATGTCTTTACCCGTGGCAGACTTGGGAACTCCAAGCGTAGAGTAATAATCCGCCGCCGCGAATACGCAAAATCCTCCACCGCGCTTGCCGTACTTCTTCCTGTTGAATTGCGAAGGCGACGAGAAAGAGACGAAACTCCTGTTGTTGCTGCTACGGGTGAACGAGAGTGTTCCACCACCGAAGAAAGAGGAAGAGGATGACGCGGAGGGTGAAGGAGACGGTAAAGGGTCTCGAATGAAGTTGAGAGAGGATGAAGGGATTAGAGAGAAAGATGCCGCCATTGTTGAAGTTGTTGATTGTGTGGAACTTAGAGGAAGCACACTAAGTGTTCGATGATTTGCATTGCGTTCCTCATTTGTAAGTGGTAAAGTATGATGATTGTTGAAGATCAGGAGGCGTGTAAATCAGAATTTCGGTTAATTTGCAGAAAAATCGAAAAGGGTGGGTCGGAATTTACAATAGAAGATGTGGTTCAAGGAATAATCTCACGTTTCCACGGGTGTAAAATGTAAATGTTTATGAGCGTACTGTAGAAAAGTTTGGCAAACATAAATGTTAAAAGAAAAAAAAAAGCGTTAATCATTGCTGTGATTGGTTCAATAATTTGATGGTTTCGTTTTTTATGATTTGTTTTTTATTAGGACCTTGTTTTAAACTTTGCACACTACATCGGTAATGGTAAAACTATTTAAATTTTATTGTTAACCTACAATAAAATGACAATATTACTTTTACTAGACATGGCTTAAGTTCTGACTTGTGGATTTTGACTATAGAAAACCCAAAATTAATTGGGTTACTTAATTCTAGCAAGTCACATAGCCTTGTGCTTAAGTTCTCTAGTGACTTATAGATTTTGAGTCGATTTCAAGATATTCTTATTCTTGATTTCATCCTACATAAATCATCTAAACATAAATTCAAAAATCAGAATCCCGACACTCATCGTGATGAGTGTCGTCGAAAAATCCAAAGGATTTTGGGATACGTGTTTTGGATGTGAGATTTATAACGGTTTGATGGAGATGAAGCACAAATTTGATTGGTTTCTGAAAATGTTCAAAGAACAAGAAGGGGAAGAAGGAAGGGGGCAACAAAAGAAGGAGACAGTGGTGGTGGTGTTAACGCGTCTACGAGTAACGACGAACAAAGTCTGCAAGATGGAGGGGTGCCAAAGGGGAAGGGTTTGGGGATGGGAGTAACTGACGATATTGAAAGTTTGTAAGAATACATATTTAATGGTTAATACATATTATTTTCTTTTTGTTAAAACTTAAACCTAGTTTAAAAAAATTTAAAAAAATAATAAAAGGTTATAAGATTCTTTTTTATATGGGTTGGGACTCATGACTATAAATGAATATGGATCGGTTTGGGTTGGTTGTGAGGTAAAACCGAACCCAAACCACTAAGTTTGGTTTTTGTCTTATTTTACACATACATGCTATAGATTTTCTACATTTTTCATGTATAAAGGAATGAACTTCTAAAGAACTAACCCCCGATTCTCCTGACTTTCTAAAACTCAATACATATTGTGTTTTCGAATCTTGCTTTGTAGCTTTATAACCAAACAAATTTTTACAATTTTTTTTAAGATTTGCCATTGCACTCGTACTATTCTTTTTCGATTTTGCACACATCATCTATGGACAATATGGTAATGTTGGTCCATGCCCGTCACTTTTTCAAAATGGTTTCATACCCATGATCCCTTGAGACCACCACCTTTATTTTCTTCAAGTTCTTCATCAACATCAACAACAGGTGAATCCAAATTAGTCCACTTACTTCTACATTCATCTCCATCGTCCATCTACATAGAGAAAACTAGTTTCAACAAACTCATATGAAACAACCTTACATTAAAAAACTTAAATTATCTGATAGATATTGACATAAATCTTGAAACATAATTTTTTGCACTTGACATATGATAAGAAGGTAGTAGCAGGTAGCGAGGGGATGATTCCAATCGAGGACAAACGAATCTTAAACAAATTTTAGATTAAGCAAACATAGTAAGCATGTAGCAGATTTCAGTACAATACAAATCTCTGGAATCAAATATAAGCATGTAGCATGGAGATGATTCCAATTGATAATTACAAATATAAATAACCTCGACAGAATCAGATTAAGCAAAAATAACAAATTTCATCTTCACAAGTTAAACAAAGTTTAGTACAATACATATCATATTTCAGCTTTACTGTAAGTTGCAAACATAAATCAAACCATATTTTAGATTCAAGTGTTCAAGAGAGAATTCGAGAGGCTGAGAAGGTGAGAGCCAGGGGAGCACTGTTCTAACTAAGTTAGATGGTGCCGGGGTTAGGGCTTTTTATTTATTTTTATATTTACTTATTTAATAAAAAATACAACATTTAATAAAAGTATTACATAACTGATAATATGTATTTCATCGGTGTGGGTTGATTCATGATCGGTTTCTAAACCATTAGGGTGGTTCGATTTTAGTTGGTTGGTGGGTACTGTGAAAACCAAACCCAAATCAATTTTTTTTAAATCCAAACCCAAAACCGATGGTTTGGGTTCGATTGCGGTTTTATTGGTTTTCGATTTCGTTTTTGACCAGTTCTAGTCAGGACCAACTATCATTATCATAAGGATTATTTTCATCAACAAAAAAAGTTATGGACGAAACATACAAATCTAGGAAACCATAAAGACCATTTATGTAATTTTGTCTAAAAAAAGAAAGTGAGAATGAATCTATGACAAATCAATAGTAAATTAAACCCTACAATTTATTATGCAACATGAAATTCGAAAATCAAGACTTCATCAAATCATCAAGCAAAATAATAATCTATAGTTCTTAATACTGTACATCAAACTCATATTTGAAAAATACAATACAAATTTCAGAATCGTGACTCAAAGAAGAAAGCCTTTATCCCAACAATGTGTTGGTAATTTCCTATCTAGACTGTTTATACACTTTATTTGATCACGCTCTAACGTTAGAATATATTGCTTGAAGATAATAAACCCTTTTTTTTTTATGTATCGTACCTTGAGGATTCAAGCAAGCAAGATCTTCTAGACATTTTCAAATGCATTTGTAAATACTAAATATAATATGATAATACTTGAGACTTTTTCAACATTTTCTTTTAGAAAAGACCTTGGTTTTCTAATTTTTCAATAAACCAGCAACATGATTATGCAAAAAAAAAAAAAAAAAAAAAAAAAAAAAAAAAAACAATTATTATACTTATCAACAAAATTTAAACATAGAGAAGGCTTTCCAATAAAAAAAAAGGGTAAATTACACCAATCGTCCCTCGTGTATATGCCAGAAAGCGTGTTTAGTCCCTATTTTCAAAAATTAACTCGGACCGTCCCTCATTTGCTTAAAACTTGCACGCTTCGTCCCTGAAAGAAGATTTTGTTGCAAACTTAGTCCATACCAAATTTGAAATGTCCAAAATACCCTTTGTTTTTATTTTTCAATTAATCTAATGCTTTTATTATGATTTTCAATTTAAAAATAAATAATAAAGGACCCTCCCCTTCATCCCCCCAACTCATCCACAACCGGAGAGATACAAACACACATACAAAATCGCCGATGAGAGGGAAAATGGAGACCTTCAACTCATCGTACAATCACCGACGACCATCCTCTGACAAAACTTCCCCACCCCTTTCATTATGTTACTGATCGAGAAAACCAGAAACACCAAACACACTAGTTGTAGATCGATGGTGGTGGTTTAGGATGGGTTTTCTGGGGGCGAGATAGGTGGTGGGTTACGAAAATTAGAGAAGAGAGCAGGAGAAGGATATCGATGATGGGTTAACGATGATCAGAAATAACGAGCTTCCCCTCCGACCCATAAAACCATCTTGTATCTTTGATAATATCTGTGAGCAAGCTCTAATGCGACCTCCGTTTTCCTAATTCTAGGTTTGCCATTGATGCACACAATGCTTCTTCCAAAGCTTTTGTATTTCCCGGTTTTCATTTTCTTGTATTTAGGTCTTTTAAATGAAGTTTTCCCGATTACAGGTTCCACCCATGCTTCTAATTTCAGTTCTTTTCACTTTCTGACTTCCAAATTTATAAACTTCCAATCGTTTTCACTTTCTTCATCTGCAATGCCTTTTGATGTGTCAGGTGTTCTAATGTGTGTGTTGGTTTCGTTTTCATTTGTGCATCCAAAAAAGTATTTTTGATCTCTGTTAACTCATTTCCACTTCCGACGAAGAATTGTTCTTAGGTTAAGCCAATTTCAGAAGATTGAGCTGATTTCATTTGGGTTTGATCTTGATGGGTTTTTGCATCAGTTTGATTTCATACGACTTGATGATCTTGTCTATTTGTGTTGGGGTTTTTGCCGGCTTTGGTGAAGGAAAGGTGAGAAAGAGGGAGACGAATTTAGGTAGAAGAAGCTGGGATTTAGGGAAGAGTGGGGATTAATTGTTTTTTTCTTTTAATTTAAAACTAATAAACAAATAAAAGAAAATGAAAAAATAAATTATTAAGGGCAAAATAGTCATTTCAAGTCAATAGGGACGAAGTGTGCAAATTTTAAGCAAACGAGGGATGGTCCGAGTTAATTTTTGAAAATAGGGACAAAACACGTTTTCTGGCATATGCATGAGGGACGATTGGTGTAATTTACCCTAAAAAAAAATCCATTAAAATATGAACTCGTCTCATTTTGGGATTCAAATCAAGGGTTTGTCATGTATTTAATCTAATCCAAAATAATTTATGAAAGAAAGCTTTTGTTAACTTTAAATTAAAACACAAAACAAAATGAAAAAGAAACAAAGTGACATTCTGAATATTAAACTGTGGTCTTACCCTTTAATTTAAATTAACCAACCACCAAACATCATTTTGTAGACATTTGCCTGATATTATCAGGTAAATGTACATCTTTTAGACAGACAGACAAACAAACAATATTTATAACCAAAATCTCTCTCTCACTCTCACTCTCTTAAAACAACTTAATTCTTTATTTATTAGAAGATATCAGGATGGAATCGTCCAGGAATCGAATTGCTTTCCTGAGCTTGCCTCAAATGCATTGTCAACGCATAGTTATTCACCTGCAACAACATCCATCAATTATATCAATCTACTAGACTACACTGATATTTAAGCAATAGAAAAGTGTAAGATTGAAACCTCAAGTGTCCTGATTTGCTGTTGATATTGGGATAACAACTGCTTCAACTGCTGCACTTCTTGGCTCCTCTCATCATACTCTTTCTGGCGTTCATGCTGAATGGCTACAGCACGTTTCAGTATTGCATTATCCCTCAAAAGAACTTCAATCTGCTCCTTGAACACCAAATTTTCCTGAAACATAAAACACCACCCAAATAAGTTACTTGCAAACAGTAATTACAGAATTACCCTCTCATTTTCTTTGGGAAGGGGCTTGCCTTGTGAAGGGTATCTGCTGCTTCACCAGCAACACGTTCACTTATGGACTTCTCCAAAGTCTCAAGTACCCTCATAGCACGAACCCTAGCATCATCAATGCTTGTAGCACTTGTCATTTCTATCACAAACAATTCAACCCATTCTGCACCACTTTTAGGGATGTTGTCATTATTAGCTGATGAGTTGTTGTTGTTCTCCAAAGAAGCAACACCTTCACTTTCAGTAGAACAACCTGTGGTTTTAACTTTTAATTAACAAATGAATCTTGTTTATTAAATAAAACAAAAAAGAAAGTTCATAACAATAAAGACACATGATTTGAAAGTTTGAGCCTCCAAAACTCCAGTTGTTTGACAATGGAAATGAAAAGATTTACCTTTTTCAGTTATTGCATTTGATTGCCCGGGTAAACCTGAGATCCCATCCACGTATCCAAGACAGAGTTCATTGAGACTCTTGATGGCAGAATCTAAATCATTTCCACTCCTTTCTAGTGCTTTCTCCAGCAGCTGAAAAAATAGTTGATTCTTTTCAAATGAGATTCATACACCATAACATAGAATAAAATTAATGTGATTTGAAGTGTAAACAACACTAGACATGACAACTCACAGACAACACACACATAGACATTATAACCATCATCTATGCATCTCAAATACCACCATGAACAAATGATACTATAAATCTACAACTAGATTATATATAGAGCATTTTGTAAATGGGAAAATCTATCTATAACCAATCCAGGTTTTAGATTGAAAAAATCTACATCAAACTATTGTATTGTTTTTAAGCCCAAACCTAATTATCAGTAACCATGTGTATAAATATAAATGCACTTACAACTTACAGGACAGTGATTGAAGACCTTTACATTTGTATATAGACACAATCTGTGTGTCCAATATGTATGTGTGTGAGAACAGTTAACAAAAGAGAAATGTTTGTCAATTGTAGGTAAATAGCAAAATTCTTATATAGGCATCAGTTGCAGAATCAGAACTGTAAAGTTATAGCAACAGATGATACACATGGCACATGCACCAAATGCTCGACATCGCAGATGCATTAGATAGTGTGTATACTTAAATCTTAAATCTAATTAATCACCAGACCACTCGCATCCACATACAACCACAATCTGATTTTGATTCTACGATAAATTTGCTTGATCCATATAACTTTACCATTTCAATCGATCTTTCTGTTAACTTATAACAAATCATTTTAATTGCATCAAGACATACAAATAGGCAAACAATTATATTCAGACCTGAGAAATTAGAAACGCTCAACTACGCAGATACACATGTGATTTAGAGAGATTAAACAAGCCAACCTTCTTATCCATACTAGGGAAAAACGATCGGAGCTTATCTACGAGTGATGGTGACGGCGGCGAGTTAGTGAACGGTGAAAAGCGAACCGGAGAAGTCGAAGTATAACAACGAAGTTTCTTGGAAGCGGGAGGAGATGCAGAATTCGGCGACGTTGGTAGGTCTTCAAAGAAAGATCTCTTCCCACACACAATCGCAGACATTGTTTGTCAAAATCAACTGAATTCAAACAAACACCGTTCTGCTGGTCCAGAAAACTAGAAATCGATTCGATCCGATAAGCGGCCTTTTCAGAAACGTCTGCTCATACGTACAAAACAAAAATTGAGCTAATTAGGGTTAGGGTTTTGGGTGTTTGTGACTTGTGAGGGAGGAGATGAGATGATGGAAATAATTTTTTGGTTTCTTTGTGGAGGGGGAAGGGGGTGGTATATGAGTACATGGGGAAAGCTTTTAAAATTGTACTTTTGACGAAATGACATGTTGGCTCCCTATATTTTGTGTTTTTTACTTTATTACAAAAAGTTTGAAATTATTAAAGCATTAAAGTGTGTATGGATTTTTTAATGGGAAAATTCATCAAATGACCATAAAAGGAGGTGTGGTTGAAGAAAATATTAAGAAAATGATTAAGAAAATATAACTTTCATAGAATGACCATGATTTCCGCAAAGAGGGTCTTTGCGGAACTCGTTCAGTTCTGAGGAATTGGACACGTGGGGAAAAGGACAAAAAAATCATGTCTGATGGCATGGTTCCGCAGAGCAAGTCTGCGGAAATGTTGAATGCTCTGCGAAAATGGTGAATGCTCTACGAAATGGTAGCTGAAAGCACTAAATAACGTCCGACATTTCCACAGAGGGCAATGAGGATCCGTAGAGCAGCCCTTTGCGGATCTGTTCTTCAAACACATGCCTCTGATGAACTGTTCTTTGCATAACCATGGCCTAAAAACGATTTCAGTAAGTGTTTTCTTGTTAATTTATCGAGGTTTCACCATTCGCACATACCAATGATTCAACATAACAAATTAAACTATAAAACTACGTTTCTAAGACAATTTATTTGCAGCCCACCCTCTTTGAATCCGCAGCACCCTTTCAATTTTGTTAATTTTTTGTGTTTTTACGAATATACCCCTGACACATCACTTCCTCAGAGTTTTTCTAATTCCTCAGAGTTGAACGGGTTCCACAGAGACTTTGAGGAAATCGTGGTCATTTAATGAAAGTTGCATTTTTTGGTCATTTTCTTCGACCACACCTCCTTTTGTGGTCATTTGATGAATTTTCCCTTTCTTAATTTTTATCTCGGTGTTTGAATATGAATTTCTTAATATTTTCCATTTAAGTGTGCTTTGAACTTATAGGCTAATTAGTTTTATATTTTATTTTCAAAGTATACAGAAAACTCTAGCTTTTGTTTGGTTTTGGATCTTGTGGATATAGTTTTCAGGTTTGGTTTACCTTCATTATAGTTTGGTTAGAACATGATAAAATAACCCTACCAACTTGAATGAGATGTACAGTTATTTTTTTCTACTGTAAACAACCATCGATTTATAATAACATTACATGTATAAAAAGGAATTATGGGGATGCTTCAAATTTGATCCAACCATAACATAATAAAATCTTAATAACTAAGGGTGCAATCCCCGATTAGGCTAAGTCGAACAGATCTAGAGATGAACAAGATAATCATATATAGAAAGATTAAACAATCACATGTACAACTCGATATGGGCGAATCAATTACCAAGAATAGTGAATGAATTATGGCATATGGGCCAAGACCATGTTTTAGGTACAAACACTCTCATTCTTTTCTTGTCATCATATGTCGTCATTAATCATATTCATAAAAGCATGACACATGCAATATGACATGTAACATCACAAAATTTATTACGTAATGAGATGTTATTATTGTTTGGGAAATTAGGTAGAAGTTAAATACAAATTCAAACACTTTGAATCATAGACAAAAAATAGAAACATTTGGTGCTTTGGGCACTTTTATCATGAAAATCCAAGAGGCAAACATGCAAAGTTTATGAGAGTAGAGATTGAAGATTTGTGAATAAGACATTATTACATAGGAATGAACGTTTGGATCGAATAACCGAACTAGAACCGGAACCAAATTAGGACTGAATAAGCTATTCCGTTCGGTTCCCGACTTTGTACGTTGGACTTATTCGGTTATCAGGTATTTTGTTCCGGTTCTACCTTTTTGGGTTTAATCAGTTCTAAAAATCAGAACCGGCGATTGAAGAAGCACTTTTTGGTACTTCGATCGAAAAAACATGCACACACACATTCGTGTGTGCCATCTGCAATCGAACAACACAAAAAAAAAAAAAACCTTCCGTGAGTCGTCCCTCCATTGACAACATATGTAGCCTCAAATGCTCATCCCTTCTCGATCCTCCATTATCGTTTCCATACATCGCTCCCTCCATTTAGTGATTTTCTGACAAGTCTTCACCACCATGGAATCATTCAAGTAACATGATTCCCACTTTGCCAAGTCATGGATAATTGAGCTCTAAGTCAAGAAACTCAAGTAAACATCATTATGTTAATCTACTATTATTTTTTAATGTGTAATTGTGTTGTTTTACTATTTGAATATGTTATGTTGACATATAAAAATACTTTGTTATTCTATTATATTAAATATTGGAAATGGTGTCAAAGGTCATTAACTAGCTGGCAATATTTTTAAAAAATAACGAGATCCTTTTGGGTTGGCCTCATAACACAAATAGCTAAAAGGAAATGGAAAAAATAAGTTGTTAATTTATTAAGTAATTACTAGATTAATTTGGTAATTAATTAAAAGGTTTTAATTAATTAAAGAGCTTGAATATTAATTAATCTAAGAGATTAATATGAATATTCCAGAAGCTCCTGGAAGAGTTATATGAGATGATTTCAATATCCATTGGATAATGATAAGGCAAGTTTGAATAAGATAATGATTAACCTTAAGAGTTTGAATCCTTTTAGGATTCTAACAACTGTCTATAAATAGACTGCTATAGATCAACCTTAAAAGCTGATTTTTTTCCTATAAAACTTTTCCAGCTCTCCTCTCTTCTCTCCATAACCGAAATTCTAACCCCTCTTATAGGGTTAGTTGAATTTCATATAAACCCTAGCTTAGGGTTTCATTCTTTTGCCTTTTGGTGTCGTGGGTCTGACTACATTAGATGAGTTCTATTTTGGGCTCGTCACCCATTGCAAGATATGTCAATTACATGATCTAAGGATCATGAAGTAAGTGTTTTATCCTTCTCTTAGTTCAATTTGAAAGTATGTTGCTATAACTAGTAAAATCTAGATTTTAGGATGCATGTGCACTTAGATAAATTTGTTGATTATTCCGCTACCTTTAGATAGTGTACTTGATGCAATAAATCCCCAACAACGGTATCAGAGCCTTTAGATTTAGTTATTTGCACTAATGTAAAAATCGAAGTCGAAATTCTAGAAGTAGAGCATTACGTGACGCGTTTGCTCTCTATGCGACGCGTAGTCGTATTTTTCTATTTTTTTTGGATTTTTGGTATTTTTTGAATTTTGAGGATAAACCTATTGATTAAAAATACTATTTTAAATTGTTTAAATCTGAATATCACAATAAGAGATTCATTCTGAATAATGTTGAATAAGAAATTTAAATTTGAATATTAAATTAAATAAAATTTGAATATTATTTAAACTTGAAATTAAAATTTGAATATTTATCTTAAATATTATTTAAATTAGAGAATTAAATTTGAATATTTGGAAGAATAGAATATAAATTTAAAAGGTGTAAATTTAGTATATGGTATAATTTACTATACATATTAAAATTATACCATATGTGTCCACATGGTTTTTAAAATGCTACAAGCTTGCCTCCTTCACCGTCTTTTATATTTTGAGAGTGGAGTTACCGAAAGGGTTCAATCAGATTTTGTTTTTCAAGATTAAAAGTATTAATCAAGTAATAAAACATAATTCCTGTTATATATATATATATATATATATATATATATATATATATATATATATCAAAACATGAGTTGTGTGTTACCTATGAAAACACACTTTTTATTTATATTATGATGATGGATAGTGGTGTGGTTAACCGACACGCCATTGCGAGAATATAAGTTAAAATAAGAGTCTCTAGGGAAATTATTTTGTTGATGGAACGTGTGTGGTTAACCGGCATATCAATATGAGAATAATCTTGCGTCGAGGATCAAGCGTTTTTGCATGGTTGATTCATCATATATTCAATGATCCGCAACATCCTTACTAGTGAATCAAGATGAGCACAATCAATATTAACATGTCATTGAATGTCAATGAATCTAAAATGATTAGGAGTTTCAAAAGATTGAAACTCATAAATTGCATTACCTACCTAAATAACTTTGTGTTATGTTTACGACATTCCTTTACACATCGCAAAGTCAAATATGGATCCTAATCGTAATCAATAATTTCATTTAGGGTTAACAATTATATTAAGGATTAATAAATCAAACTAGAATAGAATTGATATTAAATGATGTTTATAAATAATCTACTCAAATCTATATATCTTATAATAGAAGCATTTTTCTAAGCACCATATTGATTTAAAACTCCTTTGTCTTTTCATATTCTCAAATGACTATATTTCTAAGCACCACATTGATTTGAAACTCCTTTGTCTTTTCATATTCTCAAATGACTTTTTAAATGTCTTCTAAGTAATTGATTTAGCATTAAACACCAAACATGCTATATAAACTCTTACATGTAAGAAGGATTTCATAAGAAAATTGTAACATCCCGATTATTGAATAAATAAATAGATAAAGGTTTATAGCCCTAAAGTATATAACATTTAGCGGAGTGTTGGTGTTGGGGAGCCAATTGATATAATTTTTGGATTTTGAGAGTTAAAAGAATAAGTTATGGGTTTAATTTGAGAAAGATTTTAGAAGCCAAGGTGTGTTTGGTAATTAATGTACTTAATTTGAAAGGATTTAAAGGCTCCAGGGGCTAAAAGGGAAAATATTAGACTAAAGTTGAAAGGGATTGTGGAGGAGGGGCCAAAATTGGATAAATGGAAAGCAAGTTTCGTTGGTACACGGGTTATGGACTCGATAGTTTCATCCTGTGTAAAGGTGCTCCAGCAACCCTAACCCTAACATTGTGATACAGCCGCCATGCTTGAAGTCCAGCCGCCACCCTTGTGACCTCACACTCCACCGATCGCCACCTCCTCGTCGCATGGCCGTCTAACGCCACCGCTGTCGCCCCTGTCGCCGGCGAAGTCAAGGTGAAGCGGTAACTACCGGGGACAGCTGAGAAGACCGCTGAAGACGGAGGATTCGGCGGAGTTCATCCTTGCGTGGCGTCG